TACATGCAAACGCTTTATCAGCGAGAGCCCTGGACCTACAGACCAGCTTATCACAGTTTGGCGGGCTTCCATCCAAGCCTTATCTTTCCTGATATTTTGCACTGCTACCACCTGGACTGTGGAAGAGACCTCTTGGGATCAGCCATTGTTATAATGATCATGGCTGGGTTTCTTGGACTGGGAACCATCCCGGCTAAGCTGGCTGAAGCTACACGTCGACTCAAGCTGTATGCCCAAACCAACAAGCTGAACCTTCGCTTGAAGAAACTCACGAGAAAAAAGTTGAACTGGACGGGTGCGAACAAGTACCCGGAGCTGAACCGCGGCTGCAATTCTGGTTTTTCTAAATCTGTATTTTTGAAAGTAGGTGATTAAGTACTAAACAAATAGACTTAGTATAAATGATTTGAAGTACCCAAGTAGGAAGAGTTCTGGCTTCGACTCCTACGTCGTGCAGCAGTTTTTGTTGCATGAGATTTATAATTCCACGGACACCTCGAATTTGGATCGACGACTCATTTTGGCATTGTGGGCAAGCAATCATTGCATCACTCTTTGGTCGAACTCGACCAGGAGATTTCTCACTGGTGATGAGATTCGCAATGTGCGCGAAGCTGGCATGCTGTATTTGAGATCCTATTGTGCTTTAGCAGAGGAGGCAATTGGCGAGGAGAGACGATTGTATCGCATCCGCCCAAAGCTCCACTTGCTGCACCACCTATTTGTAAAGAACGGCTGTGTAAACCCGCGTTGTTACTCGACCTGGATGGACGAAGATGCTCTCAAGCATCTTATGAAGACATTGCGGGGCACAGACCGACGGACTGCCGAAGAGCGTCTGTTACAAAGGTGGCTTTTGGGTCTACCGTCGAGCTTCGAGGCAGTCCGTGGAAAAATGAGGGCCCGGCCGATCCCAGGACGGCCAACTCGTCGATGCTCACATAGGGGGCGAGGGCCTTCAGGCTTTAAAGCCTAAATTGGCCTAAAATTAGATTGAGGATCCCGGGGCCCGGGGTTCAGAAGATCGACTGCAGGATTGGTGCATACATTGGGGCTTTGAAGCTTCAAATCTCTTCGACACTTCGAAGCATATCTCTCTCGATCCCTCTCCCTCGCGGACTCAGAATTCAAGCACAATCAAAATCCCAAACCTCAGCCCCCTCATAGCCGTAAACCCGAACTCAACCTCCGAGCCCAAACCCGGAACCCAAAACCAACAGCTTTCAGGGAGTCAAGGGCTTTCTCGAGTGTGTGTGTGTGGATATGTGACATATTTATATATATATATATATATACATATTTAAATACAACCACAAGACCCTAAAGCCCCTAAAGACCCTAAATCCTTAACCCTGCCCAGGTACATGGCTCAAGGTTTCCACTCTGATGCCCATGATGCTATAAATGTTAGGGCTCTTTTTTTGTCTGGCTCAAGCGTTTCCTTTGCTCTTGATGCTCACGGCTCAATACGTGAGGCTCAAGCGCTTGTGATGCTCTTGATGTGTACTCAAAGGCATGTGATGCTATGATGCTTACCTTTCGAAGGTTTCGTGTGGCTCAAGCGTTTGTGCTCAAGATGTGTAGGATGCTCAAGAACGACCAATTCCCAAACCGTATGTCCATGAAAAAAACGATTGCCAACGTGTGGCTTGTTTCGTGTACGCTCCGGGTATGGCCACCAAGATTATATGGTCAAACGGACTCCCAGGATTGACTACCCGCCGTACACCCTGGGGGCGGGGCTCCGGCTTGAGGACTGGGTTGCGGCGGCCCGGCAGTTTCGGGCGCAGGGAGGACTCGCGGGTGGCCTCGACTACCAGTTCCTGGGCCCCAGGTTGGTGCCCCAATACCACAAGCCTTCGCCGCGCTATTCGTACACGAGCCAGCAGCTCCTCCGTCGCCAACAAAACAATCAAACACTTGTAAAATTGTTGATAAAACTTGAATTTTGACATCTTGAAATCATGATCATGAAAAGAATCTTTCTTACAAGTACTTCCTGAGCCATTGATTCATTGAGCCCTTTCTTTCTGACTCCACGGCCTAAGCCCTCGTCGCAGGCTGAAGCTTTGGAAATTTTTACCTCCAACTAGCTTTACACACAAACGAACTCCAAATACAATCCTTTTTGCACAGCCAAACTTTCAAAAACTCCAAAACAGCTCCACTTCACAGCAGCGCGTTTCCAGCTCCATTCCAAAACTTGGATTTGTGTCCAAGCTGCACAACCAAGTCCCTCAAATGAGAACAAAGCTTTTTCCAAGCAGAAAATGCCAATTTTCAAGGCGAAGCACTGGGTGCAACCAACCACCCAACAATAGGCATTCGAACTCAAGACCGACGGGAAAGACCTGGCAATACCGTGCGCGATACCTTTTTTGCGACAACAACAGCTCACGAAGTTGAAACGAAAAATCAAACTTTGCAAATTCAAAGTTTGCCTGAAGTGTTCGAACCCGGAGTTCAAACAGTGTTCGAACCCTAGGTTGGAACACCAACGTTGGAACACACCAGTGTTCGAACTCCGGGTTCGAACACCGGCCTCCCAAGTGTTCGAACTGGAGTTGAACTGGAAGTTCCAATGTTGAACTTGGAGTTCAACTGGAAGTTGAACTTAGTGTTCGAACTAGAAGTTCGGAGGCAACTATAGTGTTCGAACTCGAGTTCAGGGCCTTGAACACTGTGTTCGAGGCCCTGAACTCGAAGTTTGGAACACTGTGTTCCCGAACTTGGGGTTCGAACACCCCCCCAAAAACCTATGTAGTCTGAAAGAGACTTGTCTTGCTGGAACAAACGAACGTGAAAACGCTTTGCCAGACGTTGTCACGATTGCGAGGTCGCCATGTCGAGTACACCCATCCACTTTTGAGGCAACAGACCTGCACCCGTGTTCTCTTTCTGGAAGCTTGTGTTTGACACAAGTGGACAAACACTTGACCAGTGATTCTGCAGCCAAGACGGTCGAATCATCATTCGGCCACTAGACTGGAGGTGCAAAAACTGGTTTGAAGGTCTTGCACAAGGAGCTGTGTGTTATGGATCTAGCCAAGCTTTGTGGAAGATAGAACAACGTGACTCGTCTGAGAATGGCACAGCAGCCTTATGCCGAATGGCTAGGGCACACAAATGAACGGTTGTTGATGTTAGGCTCGCATGCCCAGTCATGAGTGGGTCGGCCCGTTGCACTTATTCATGCTGAACGACTTTGCTGGCAAGTTTGTACGTCACAGCCACGCCGGTTCACTTGTACAGGTTCTTTCGAATTGGGACCGAGCGCAGCCGCCGAGGCCCGCCTACGCCATTTCTTCATTCTCTTGCACTGGCTTCGCTAACGTCTTGCCACCCTGTACACAGACTGCATGAATTTGAATCTGTCCAGTCCAGTGATGGCCGCGGCTTGGCAAGCACACCTCGCATCTTTCTTTACGACATTCCTGCAGAAGCTGAGAACCCTGGGCGGCTGCCAGAATTGCATTGCATTCCCACTGGCACACCGCTTGTCGCTTCACAGTTGGCCTGCAGCCCACAATGCAAAGAAGCAGTGAGAGGCCCATGCTGCAAATGGGCAAAGAGCTCCGCGGCTTCCCTTGCCCACACTCCAAGACAGCAAGCTTCGGGGTTGAGCACAGCTTGCATTGTTGGGCGGCTTGACAGTCTGTGAGCACTCGGACATGACCACTGCACGTCAAAATTCCAGACAGTGCCGGAATGGGTGTGTTCGAGAAAAACATGATGAGCCACATAATGACCAAAAGAGGCACGTCAAAAATATATAATATATGATGAACTGTTATCATCAAAAGAGGGGGCACGTTTTAAGGAAAATGTGAAAGGTTATCGCCGAATGAGGGGCGCGTTCATATGATAAGCCAATATCAGCGAAAGAGGGGGCATGTTTAAGATGTATGGTGGACGGTTGTCGCCGTATGAGGGGCGTGTTAAAGACAAAGATATATGGTGAATCGGAATTACCAAATCGTGGAGCTTGTCCAACATATGTGGTATAATCATATCTATGGTGTACCCCAATCGCCAAATGAGGGCGCGTGCTTAAGATGTGATGAATCGCCGGTCCTCTTGCAGTTGCGTTTACAAACGGGGGGGGCTGCGCCCAACCCCCCCGCTTCATAATTCTTCTTGAAGCTTTCAAGTGTCCCAGATCCATCATAGATGCATTCTGTCTGCAAAGAGGAGGGGGCTCTGCTTCGTCCAAGCGCGCAAGCTTGCTTCAAACATCAGCTTGCCAGCAAAAACAGAATCCATATGAACGTGATGCATGCGTACATTGGGTTTGCAAAGGGGGGCTGCTCCCCCAACCCCCCGCTTTCATTCTAATTATGCGTGCATGGCTTGCCGTCAAGAAGAATTCCGTCAATCACATAATTATTCTTCAAGAAGGAATTGCGTCAATCACATGTTTCCTTTTGAAGTTTCGAGTGTTCCAGACCCATCATACACGTGTGCAGGTTCTCGAAAGTCCAGGCCCAGAAAACCACCAAAACATATCCAAACATATCGTAAATCAGCCCCCTCCGTGAGACTCGTACAAATTCTCTACCATCCAGGCCCAGAAAGCCATAAACAAATACCCAAATAAAACCATAAAAATAGTCACAAAAAACCTGGATCCTCCCCGAAACACTTCAGGGATTCAGGGTAACGGACCAGTCCGGCCGAACGTTGCTCACCGTGATCAAGTGCTTTTGAGCCTAGGAAGAAGCAACTCAGTACGGGGACATGTCAACACAACCGAAGCCGCTTGCACATGTCTGTCAAAAGCCCGGCAGCACAGGCCTGTAATCATCGATCGATGTTTATTTGTGTCCTTGAAAGCTATGCAGCTATGAGTTGCCGGCCACGGAGATTAGTTGCCAACAAAGCAACAGAGAATACAACTTTTGAGCCGTTAGAACATATGCAACGGGTGTTACTTGAAGCTTTGTCTGGTGATGTTCACACGCACGTCCGACTTACATTATACACATATACAGTATACAGCAATGGCCGTTGCCACGGCAACCTTGCCGGGAGATGGCAACGAGTTTGATTTGGATCAGCTTATTCACAAGTCGGGCACCTGGCTGTTTGGCAGCAAGCAACACAAGTTCTGGCCGCAGATGTTTTGAGGTTGAAGCGCGATGGCGACATCGTGCCAGAAATTTTGCCAGAACGCGTGCTGAAGCTTGCTTGTCGGCCGGGCTTGTTGGTACTGTTGAATTTGTTTGGTCCGAAGTCATTGAGCATGGAACATGGACCGAGCCAGGTCAGCAGTTGAAGAACATCCTCATCGAGGATCAGCTGTTCCGCCTATAATTCATTCCCGATATGTTTCTTCCTTATATTGGCTTGCTTCATGAAGGAAAGCAATGTGCAACCCGTGCAGTTGCCAGTCGTGCGACTCGTCAGCAATGCAGGAGCTTCTTTCGAAAAGATTTCGATCTACACCTGGCATATGAAAGGTTGTGCAAACAGCTGACAGCGGTAGACCAGACTTGTAAGGATATGTGGTGACATTCATGGCCCAGGCCTGAGCTTACTAACATGCACCGCCACGTGGCTAGTTGACGGGTTGGTGCTTCAGCTTCTTTATCAACATGGGGCAAAGCTTGGAAGAAATCATCTCTAAGGCTGCTAGGCTTGATTTTCATTGTTGAATTGAACTCCCACATGCTACACGCGATGCAGTTTACCGGCCTAGTCCCGTAGCTAATCCGACTCTCTCATGTTCACCTGTAGCCAGTGCTTGGCCAGACGACAGTCGACTAGCCCTGAGTTCGGGGTGTTTCAAGTCTCTCTTGTCAAGGTCAATATTTCGATTTGTTGGAGCTCTTCAACATCGGTGGGCACATTCCGGTGATCTGATTGAATAGCGACTGATGCTGCAGCTGATCATGGCGGTGATTGCAGTATCCAAGGAGAAAAACTACATCTTTATGGGCGATTTCGTTGACCGAGGCTGGCTCTTTGATGTGCTTCGTTTCTTCTGACATCATGCTAATGCTTCCTTGGATAATTTGTTTGGCGCAGCTGCAGGTTACAACAGCGTTGAGACCTTTGAATTGCTGATGTTGTTAAAGCTGCGATATCCTGCCAGAGCCTCTGCATGTACTTACTTGCAACTGGGGGTGGAGATTCCATACTTCGTGCCAATCTGCGTCACAGACATTAGTAACGAGGCAAGCATCACATTGCTTCGCGGTAACCACGAATCCCGCCAGATCACGCAGGTGTCCGACTTACGACATCTTTCAATTTTATTCCTGAACAATGGAGTCTTGTATGGACTAAGGTTTACGGATTTTACGATGAATGTTTGCGAAAATACGGCAATGCAAACCCGTGGAAGCCTTGCACTTATGAATGCCTTTTGTCCGCACCCTCTTTTCCACACGATCTTGACAGCATAGTAACTCCCCGAGGTACTGTACGGAGGTGTTTGACTATTTGACCTTGTCTGCAATTGCAGGATACTCAGCGAGTTGACACGTTGAGGCTGTATAGTTGATGCGGTTGGCCAAGGTGGAAAATTCCATTTTCTGTGTCCACGGAGGACTCTCGCCCGATGTACCGAGCCCGGAGAGACATGAAGCATTCGACACAGGGCTGGCTGTTCAAATCGTGGAAGGTCAAGATCCTCGATCAGATTCGCACGATCAATCGGGTGCAGGAAGGGGAGCGAGAACGGTCTGCACAGTGCCAAGTTCAAGCACAAAAGGAATTTTTATCATTTCGGGCTTCAGCGATTCGAGCTCATTCTTTGAACAGTGTTGGAGCCATTACCAACAAGGACGAGCTTTAACTCGGCCCTAACTTGTGTTGGATATCAACATATAATGCTTTTCTGAATTCTTATCGTTGTGTGTTTTGGGCGCACGTTTTCCATATACGTCTATGAGTTGTTATATAGAGGCTTGAGGCGACCACAGAACCAAGCGTCAGTTTAAAGCGAAACGTTTCCCGGTTGCCCAACACATCCATGACCAGATGCACAACCAACCGAATCAGACAAAAGAAAGCTGGCACACTCGCCAGCGACCAAAGCTTGATGAGCTCCGCTTTGCACTCTGCAGCTCCCATGCCCTGAGAGCATATGGGATCGAAAGGGTGCTGGGTCTTCCACTAAGCCAGGTCAATTTGTTCAGTTCTCGGCTGCGCGCTACCAAGTCTATCTGGATCACAGTGAGAAGATGAGTCAGAAAAAGCGTCGTCGCAACGTTGCTAGCCTCCCCTCATGTCCAGGGGTCTGAGCGCAGAGTGCAGAATACGAACATTGGTAGATCGGAAACTTATTAATGGTTGTTCCTAGAAGCCCTATGGCTCATGGTAATACCACCCCGTTAGACTGGACACATCTCACTCCAAAATTGTCCTCTCAATCCCTTTGACGATCACATCATCAGACCTTCATGTCTGCGACTTCGTGTCACGGGTGAGTAAAGTGGTGAAGCCTTCGCTCGATCAGCCCGTCTTTGCAAGCATGGTCGATATTGGTCGATGCGAGTCGGATTTTGCACTACCTTGCGCTCCAACGAAGGGTTCGGCTTCTGGTTCACACCTTTGACGATGTTTTGTACTTGCTTGTCTGTTGAGTCGCTGCAAGACAACAGTTGTTAAACAAGCTCGAGTTAAAGGTTTGACAATGACTGAATTCTTGGTCGACTCGTTGCATGACTGACTCTAACTCTAGTACAGTACTCAATAGTATTGAACGGACTCCCTCACTCTCGATCTCGGACAAGGTCTGCGAAGTTGAGTTGTTGGATTTCCAGTTTTCCCGGCTTGTTGAGCTCCTGATGTGCATCCTGGAAAGAGCTGCGACATTTGCGTTAGCCGTGCTAGGATCATCATTAACCGCTGCGGAAGGAGATACCGCACGAAGGTGCCTTTGGCGATCTTGTGTGGTCAGATCCTGAAGATATTGAGGCATGGGCAGTCAGCAGCCCAGACTGCCGTCAAATGCCAGCAGCACAGCTGGGCATGTGTCGACTAGACACTAAGGTCAGCCCGAGAGGTGCTGGTTGGCTTTTTGGGGAACGGCCAACACAACACTTCAATCGTCAGTACTCTCGGAAGCTGTGGGTGTTCCAGCGCATGTTGCATCCTTGCAAAGTCCTGGAGCGCGCAGGTCTCAACGGGTTGGATCTCATTGCCAGGGCCCACCAGCTTGTCCAGGAAGGGTACAAGTGCGCCAGCAGATGTCATCTTGCTTGCCCTACTCATTCAGAACTCTTGCTCGTAGGTACATGTTCAGCGACTCGCAGCAGGAAAGCAAGACGGGACTGTTGGTAACAGTTTGGCATCGGGCTGAAAACCGGACGGCCGACACATGTACAGGTGACATGTGTGCGCCTAGGACGGACAAGTCTGTTCAGCTCAGGTCGGCTCCAAATTACTGCTACAGATGTGGAAATGCGTGGTTCTCGGCAGAAACGCATACTATTTCGAGTTGGACCAGTTACGTTTCGAGATTGTGATCTGTGGTATTTACACGTAAGGTCGCGTCCATCCTTGACATCGACGAAAGGAACCAGCGTGAGTATGTCTGGCATGTTGTTGAGACATTATACTTGCGGCCTGCAGTGGCAACATGGGTCATGCATAGCTGTGAAAACAAACGACAGGTTCCGAATATTTCAGGAAGTTCCAGCTTCAGCTTCAGCTGCCTGGACCCTGGCATTGGCAAGGAGGTGAATGGAGCAGCAATGGTCGACTATCCAGTGTTGCGTGTGAGCCAAGGTTCCCCCTCGGCAGCTTGTTCCCTATTTTCTTTGATGATGGCAAGCCAAAGCTCTGATGTTTCCTGGCTTGGTGTCAACACGCATCTGGATTCTTGCAACAGCTGTGATCCCAGCTGCAATGTTTTGTTGCATCTGAGCTCACGGGGAACCCCACGCATTCGTGAATGGTTCACAAGAAGTGAACCGTCACAACGATGCGTAGCTATGTCCAAACATGGTATGGCTCGCTGAGATTTCCGGGAGACGCGCCTGCACAATGGGCTTGCTTCGGTAGTTGCTGATATGCTGTTGCAAAGCGGCGCCTGGCCATCTCAGCTTGACAGCACCCGCAGACTCAGCGCGACATTCTTGATAATGCTTCCTATTACTCCCATCAGTTGGAGTGCCATTGGGTTAGGGTTAGAAGTGACTTCTGCGATCGTATGATGCAGCCCAAAACGGTTTGTGCATGTCAGTCTCATGGAGATCATCGTTGATGGCATGTCTGATGTTCCTTGATACCATGCCCGTAACAAGGGTGTTCAAGGACAGTAGCGAAGACAGGGCTTCAGCCCGATCTGAAAGAGGCTCGGAGTTTCTGGCATTATGGCTTTCGGCTTTGATTTATCCCACAGGATATGGAGGGAGACTCGCAGGAAGCGTTGGGCCCCCAGCAAGTCGCACGTCTGAGACGTGCTGACCCACTTGCATGGAATCGTGCCTGGGTCAGGCTTCGTCCTTTCATCGAGGCTGAAAGGGAGTTTGTGCAGCGGCAGGCTGGTCAACAGGGAACATGAGCTCACATGCTATAACGTTAGCACCAGGGCCTCGGGTCGCCTCCGCTGCGCGACCGTCCGTGACATGCGGTATCCCTCAATGTTCCATCACCTTTCTGGTTGTGGGAAGCACTGTACAGTGGTAGCCGCAGCCGCTTTTTGGAAGGGTTACATGTGGTTAGTACAGTAAATCGTGTCGATTGCCACTCTTTGGAAACGCAAGTTTCTTGAAGCCATCCGATCTCGCCGACGACCTTGAACACCAAGCTTGTTCTGGGCGAGAAGCTACCGACGTGCTGGGTTCGGTGCACCTTATCCATGTATGAGCTTGTGTGTTCAACTCATCCGCATGGACCCATGAATGAGTTGCTCATGTTACATGTTTCATAAACTAAAGCCTTGGATGGTGAGCTACTTCGCTCTGACGTCTGGCAGTGCGCGTCTAGCATCTGATATTGCATTGGCCTCAGAAGCGGAGGTGGTGATGCTGCTGGATGCCGCTTGCATGGGCATGGTGTTGGATGCTACTTGCATGGGGCTGTTCGTCCATCCGTTTAATTAGTGAAGGCGCCGTGATAATTTGACTCGCCTGCTAGTCTCCGTTGCAAAAGATACTTCCTTTCCTTTGGCATGTTTTCGGTTTAGGATTTAGGGTAATGCTACCAAATATACTTTCCCTGCACTAAACTCACCTGCAAACGTCTCCGTTCTTTGACTACTTGTCATCGTTCACTGCCGGACGCTATGAAGCTACCCATCATCGTCAGTCCATAGATGTTGATTGTATCCTTAGTCCCCAAAATTGTGGCTTTGGGCGGTTTTTGATTCACAAGCTGCCCTCTTCGCATAACAGCTTACCAAAGACACTGGAACGTGTTTTGGAAGAGCTCAACAACTGGTGGATGGTGTCGCGGTATAGTCTCGCACAGTCTGCTGGCGATCACGATGGCGCCGTTCAGTGTCTGGAAGCCGTGCTGCGGGCAGAGCAGGTGCGTGCCGAATGCAAAGATGTAAACCTGTTTGTCTCTAAGCCCAGGACCTTCTCAGGCGCCAGCTTCAGGGGCTTTCATAGGGGAAAGACCCCAGATGGAGAGGGAGCGCCAGATCTGTGTTTGTAATCAACCGTGCAGCTGAAGAGAAAACAGGGCCAGTCAGCAGAAGCACCTGCCTGTAAACAAAAGGGAGTTCCTCTAACCCCGCCAATGTTGCCCATCGGACCTTCCCGAAGATCACCCCCGCTCTGTTCCGACTGTTGGACCGGTACTTCCATGCACATTTTCAGGCAACTGTGCAGCAGATGCCTGACACCATGTTATCGACGCTCTTCGAGCGGCTGGCCATAGGCGTGCATGGAAATTCATGCCTCATGTGTGATGATTAGTCCAGCTAGCTGTTAGATGATGTAGTTGCAGAATTATGTGAAGTGGGATGTGCCCAGTGTCCAGGCTACAACACCCTCGGAATGAAGCACTTGAAGGCCCTCTTCACTCCGATAGTCATCTGCGTTCGTTTGCGCTGCATTCTCGTGCATTGCTGTTTGCAGGACAACAACACAGAGGTTTCCTGCAAGTTTTTCGAGAAAGCAGAAGCGCTTACAGACCCAGCCAATCTGCCACTTCCTAAGCCACGGGTGCGAGGTTAACCCCTTTTGCATTCGCTTACGTCCCAGGCATATGAATGCTGAGTCTCGCCTCGTCTTGAGAGCAGTGCGCCGGCTGTCAGTCGTCATGTATTTCTCAGAAGCATGACATTTGTGTCCAGGTGACCTACAACAACATGGGCTGCTTCTACAAGAGCTTTGGAAAGCTTCTCGATTCCTTGATCTGCGAAAGAGGAAGAAGACGGGCCTCACAATTCACAGTTAAATGCTTTGCTGGAGTTCAAGTTTGTAGGAGTAGCTGCAGCAGGGCAGCGCATGCGCTGATGGAGAGCGTAGCACTTGAAGCCTCAACATGGCTTTGAGAATGAGGCTTCATACGGCTCTGCAGTACTTGAAGAAAGCTCAGAGAATCGAGGAGCAGTGAGCAGCACAGATCAACCGAGATGGATTGCCTCTCTCGTTCGTGTGAGTATCATTTTGGGCTTGTTCGTGCATCGAAAAGTTTCAAAGGTCAAGGGGCAGATGCCAAAATCCAGCAGGCACGGGAACAGCAGAACTTAGTGTGAGATGGTCTTCCGGTTGAATGTGTCTTGGCACGGCAAGGTACGCACTTGAACTTGTGTGCGCTGTTGTCGCAGATGGGCAAGCATCAAGAGGCTTCTGGGTGGCGGATCATTCTTCTTGGTCGAATGCGGCCTCATCGTGCCAATGTGTGTGCAGGCGCTGCAGCATGCAGACAAAGCTCTAAAGAAGCTAGAGGTACCGGGCAACGCTCAAGTTGCAGTATGTGTGTGTGTGTGTTCTGCTTTGCACCCAGCACTTCTGGGTGATAACAGGCCGCTCAGAAGCAGAGCGACCCTGAGAGCTTGCTGATCACCTGATGCAGCACGGCAGCCTGGGTGATCCTGTCCCAGGTCTCAGCCACCGGAGGGTGGTAGTCCATCAACTCAGTGCCCACAGTCATCACAGTCACGCAGTAAACGGATGTTTGTACTGTCCTTAATCAACAGCGACTGTCCGTCAGCAAGCGAGGTCTTCCACCTGTCGCCGGGAGCACCAATAGCGAAAGCTTGATTTGCATGGCCCTCAGCATCCCTACCGTGAAATGCCGGCAAATAGTAAGCCACACAATGTTCGTGACTGCATGAAGAGAATGGCTTCTGAGGCGTTGCGTATTTCAACATGGGGGCAGAGTACGAGCATTTAAAGAAGCCTGCAGAAGCTCTGTGGCACTACCAAAGAGTGAGGCGCTCAGCAATCTACCGGCAGCCGTATGTTCTCGTTGCTGTTCCCCGGGATCGTGGTTGGCTGGCCATTTACGTGCAAGCCGCTTGCGACACGGTAGAATCGCTTTGCCGTGTCTACGGCTAACGTTGACGCGTGACACGGTCATCCCGCTGTTCTCAACTCGTTTCCTCCCTGAAGAAAGTTCATGTTGACCTCGAGGCTTTTTTGTCTTGAGGCTCAGGCATGCTGGAGGGCCATTTTACTGAGGTCGAAATGAATCAAAACGGGAGAAGCTGCATGCCAAACTGGAAAAAAACAATCCCAACAACTCTCCCACTTCAAGTACAAGAAATTGCGCTGTACCCATGGACTTTGACGATCATGATTGGCTATGACACCACTGTTCATGAGTATTGCTTTCCTCGGCGGAAAAGATCATTGACACCGTCAAGAACTATGTTGCGAGGTTGCGATCAGTGAGGACGCAACTGGAACAAGGGTTCAACAGCAAGGCTTTTATGTTTCGTTCGACGACAAGCGCTGGCTGATGATCTGCACAAAGGATTTCAGTCCAGCGCTAGTGTTGGCTGCAGCGATGGCTTACGGCAGCGATGACATGAGCCCCATCTACTGCAGACGATGGTGCCAATCTGCAAGCTGCTGCATCAGCGGCTGAAGTATGCGACAGTCTGAGTATAGTTGAGAAGCCCGATGCACCGACTACATCCCGTATGTAAGGCAACCTGCAGTACCGCAAACCTTGCCTTCGAGTTGCTTGACCGAAGCTGGCCAGCTTTGCAGACCGTCAAGGATGCGGAGACTCATAACAGAGGACACGAAACCTGGTTCGATGAGGGTAAAAGAGATTATCTTCAGCAGGCGAAACGATCATCGACGAGGCGAAACGATCATGGACACGTCACTGTTCACTTACACCTTTCGCTTCAGAGCGTTGTGAGGGAAGGACTTAAGTGTGCTTCGAGAATCGATCCTGAAGAGGCTTAGGCACCCATGGAGAATGCGCTCAAGGAAGCATGCATGCACCCTATCATGGAGTCCGCCAAGTTGATAGGGCGGGCGTGATCTGCCAAGTTTTCATGCCAACGAATGTAAACACATACACTACCAAGCCCTATTGGCGGCCGGCTCCTACCTGACAATGGAGTTAAGGGCTCGTGGGTGCTTGGTGATACATGTATCGTGGTTCTGGGCAAAGATCCAGATCCATGGATCGTTGTTTTTTCGGGCAGAGATCCAAAGTTCACTGTCGACCACTAGTCACTGGTGGAGAAGCCACAAGCTGGCAACACACTCCGAATCTCTTGAATCCAGAAAAGCTCCTCGTCATCGAACTTTCGTCATCTACAAAAGACAACTGTTCTGCCAGAAAATGGTACCAACTTGCTACCTGAACGCTGAATATTTGCGAAGATGGCACCAGGCCTTTGAGAGCCATGTCTTGGACAAACCTTATTTCCGCGACGTGTGGGATGATGGAAGCTCATTGATGTTCGGTACGTCAGTGGCAACTCGGCCGCCAGAACCTGACGTGGAAATCTGATGATGCTAGGTCGGTCCACCAAACTTGTCCACTCATGTCCTTCAAAATGGAAACATGTTTGCAGCAGGAGTCATTGTCGGCGGCAGCAGAAGCTTGTGTGCTCTTGCAACACACCGATACACCGGCTCACGCCGTGCAGCAGCGAGGGCTAGCACGCTTTCCTTTTTTCCCGCCCTGCCCGCCCTTGCTTGGCATCACTCTTGCTGCGCAGCTTTCGGCCTCCCTTGCTGTCGCGAGTTTGGCCTCCTCTGCTGTCACGATTCCTGCTTCCCTGTGCTTTCATGGATTGCGACCGAAACGCTCGCTGCTGTAGCTTTTCTGGGTCAAGGTAGATGTTCGAGAGGCCAGGTGTCTGGCCTTTTGTGTTAGGGTGGTTAGGCTGCAGCGGTGGCGGTCATACCTCCGACTGGCTCCTGTTGTGCCTCCTGGCTTGGTTTTGCGGCCTTCTTACTGGCAGCTCGGTTACGCTGCTTTTGACCTCTGCAACTGCCAGGAACATTGTTTGGGGCTGTTTGGGAACAGTCGTGCGCGAGCTGCACCCAGCACCTCCAAACTTTCAGGTTGATCGTCTGGCGAGGTACCGGCATCCCGTGCATGAGCACAGGGCGTGACTCCACCGACCTTGTGGAATTGCTGCGGGCGCTGGGCAACCTAACCATCAACGTGAACGTGACCAACTCGTCGGCCCCTCCAGCTTCTTCTGGTGCTTCTTCGGGCAGGGTCGAGCCTCGTGCTGCCGCTCCTGTGCTCGGGCGGACCGCTGCTCCCAGGGGAGCAAACACAGTCTTTGGGCCTTGGGAGCCTCAGGCTACTCCTGCTGTTTGCCCAGCCTCTGTGACCAGTCTTGCTAGGCAGCTTCGGGGAACGGTCAACGGCCAGAACCCCTTGCAACGGATTGAGTCCGCCTACGCGCTGGGCCGAGAGTACTTCACAGCGCGGCCCCGCACCCGGAAAGTCTGCTACGTGATCCTTACCGGGCGCAACGTGGACGAGCCCTTCTACACTCCTTCGGCTTACCTTTACTCTGCTACAGTTCAGACCGAGGCCGGCCGAAATTTCGGTCCCACCTCAATCTCCCACGGCTTCGGCAGCATCGCCGAGGCCGAGGCTTTTTGTCGTGGCGCAAGCCTTCCTTGCCCACTCGGCGTGATTGATGGCTGCGGAGGCAGCCGAAGAGGCAGGAGCTGGTGATCTGGACTACTTGCAGGGATGGCGGGCAGCCGACGCGATCGAAGGCTACACCAAGCTTTTCTTCAACCACGGCGGCACATGTGCTCAGGCATTTGTCGTCCGTGCTGGTTCTTCGGGATTCATGCTGTGCGTGCCCGCCGGGACCTTCTCCGAAGAGGAGTTGGAGGGATTCCAAGCCGAAGGGTATCCAGGGCTTTTTGGGCCTCACTTCAACACTTCAGTGCCTGCGGTTTCGGTGTCCGGGCGCGAGCTCAAGAAGATCATCCCTTGCATGTTCATCGACGTGGCGGCAGAGGGCATCGGGCGGCTTCAAGTGGATCCCTTCCCCGACCTCGAGCTCAAACTGTTTGGCACCCAAAGGCTGCAAAGTGTGTGGCCGCATCGAGTCCGGGTCTTGGAGGCTCTCTCCAGCTTTCTGGATGGGAATGTTGCGGACCTTCCGGACCGCTTGGATGCCTGCTTCACCTGCGAGACCGAGGGCGAGGCTTTTCCTCTAGTGGCTCCAGCGGCGGCAGAGGTGGTCCAGAACGATGTGCTGCAGCAGCTCCTGATGCATGCCACCACTCATGCCGAAGCTCTGGCGGGCCTCAAGGCTCGACTTCAGTCTTTGGAGAAGCCCGCAGCCCCCGCTCCAGCGGCAGCTGCCGCTCCCGGAGGCGGTGGTTTGCCTCAGTGGGCGCTCAACTGTTCAAGCGTGGAAGGGGCCTCAGAGATTGGGTTTAGGGCCGAGCGCTGCTCCTGCCGGGCGCGTCTACTTGGGCGCGGCGGCCAAGGCTGCTCCTGCTCCACCTCCCGCGGCTGGCGTGGGCGCTTTGGACGAGGAAGCCGAGGAGGCCGTCGAAGACGAGGTTGCCGAGGGCGGGGATTCGGGGCATGGCTGCTCGGCAACTGCTCAAGGACCAGATCCAGAAGGACCCCCTGAAGGTTTACCGCAAGGTGCGCGAGAGGCTAGCTCAGGCCAGACGGAAGGGCAGCACTTCGGCCTTGGCGCCGAGGGACATGTTGACATGTTCTACCACTTTCAGGATGTAGTGCCCCTCGGCCATTACAAGACCCTCACCTACTTCGCGTTCCTCCTTTTGCGACGCCTGGGAGGAGCAAGGGAGATCCGAGGAGGTCATGAGCTTGATAAGCCTGGGCTTGGTCTTTGCGGAGCAGGTGGCGAACGAGGGCGGAGCCACTCGCCTAGGTGGCTTCTGACCTTCCGCGACGATCCACCCTTCAGCCTGGTGGAGCAACGACGGGCCCCGCGGAGCGAGGTCCCCCACGGGCTTTTAGCAGACCCAAGATGGGTGACAGCCAACCTCGCCTACTTGAAGGACGTGGAGAGCATCCAAGATCGCACTGCAAAGAGCCATCAGCAGCAGCAGCAAGTACCGGCGGGCAACACGAGCACCACGACACCGCCTGGACCCGGGGAGCCGAAGGGAGGCCGTGGAGGAAAGCGCGGCCAGAAGGGCGGCTTGAGCCGCTCTCCTTGGTTACTGCCCGATCTTTTTCCAGCAGGCTTGGATGATGTCTTCAGCGCTTCTCGACTATGTGCATGCGTTTCGCAGAACTTGCTGAAGGTACGTACTCGCTTGTCTTCTTTTATTCAATCTTCTTGTTCGAATTCGCAACCCGTTTCGGGCGCTGCCTCGCAGAGCCCCGATATTTGGCCACCCTTGCCCGTCCCTGGGGCCAAGCTCGGTGGCCGGCGCTTGGCGCGATGGCATCGCAGGCGCTCCATCAGGCACGTTACTCGCCACATCGTTGCAGCAAATAACTGGTTGGTGTTGGGCAAACCTGCTTCGCCACCCGCAGCCTTGCCGCCTTTGAGCTCTTCCCAACATGCTATGCTTGGCAGGTTGGAGGCAATGGCCTCTACATTAATCCGCTTGGGGTCCGGCCCCAAACGCGGTCTGGATCGGTCCGTTCAGAAGTTCGACAGTGTTCTCTTGCAGCTCGAAGAATTGCAGCGTATGAGCACCAAATTATTCTCTGAGATGCAGCCTTATTCGAAGCCCGGCCGAGGTGGTACAGCAGCTGCCGCCTGTGAGCCGGAGACCGCTTTTTCTACCAACGTGACAAAGGCCAAGCTCGCAACGGTCAGTAAGCCCGTCGACCCTTCATGGCTCTCATTTGATGAGGCCCCTAGGTTCCAGGCCGAGAAGTTCCTCGTGGGTTTTCCGCCGGCATGAGAGCGAGTGGCCTCGAACGAAGGTTGCCCGAGTACAAGCTCCTTTAGACAAGCAGCTTCAACTTTACAAGAAGTGGGATGATG